CTTCAAATGTGATTTTTCTCTTTTTCTACCCAAGCATATTGTATACATCATAAATATAGTTTTCAGGTCTTTACTTGTCTAATGTAGAACTCAACCTACGTTTTTGCTCCCAAACTTAATATTTAACATAATTTATCTGTATTTTGTCATGTAATCCATTCCAAAATATTCAAAGTTGGGTAGAAAGAAAAAATAGGAATTATTTCTTAGTCATTTATGCCTAGAAATGGTCCAGCAATTTTATGTGGATTATTTCATATAACCCTTACAACAATCCAAGGAATTAAGCGTGATATTTACTTGGTAGGTAAATAGAAGCTAAGAGAGGATAAGTGACTTGTCAGATGTTATACAGTTATTTATTAGCAGAACTGGAGGTTGAAAGAGGTGTATCTTATTTTAGAAACTATTCATATCTCACTGGAACATTAAGGTGACTATGAGATAATGATGTCATTTCTTGAACCATAAGTAAAAATTATGTACAAATTAGCACCATGTTTCCCTTAGGGGCAGGGTAAAAGATTTCTGATTTTTTTAGGCAATTATGTTTACTCATCTATTATTTCTGTTGTCACAACCAAGTATGTTAAAAATATACTTGACTTAAGCTCACTCCATTTCTAGCCTCTTTGAGCAAAAATATCTGATCCATAGAATTTGTTTCAGTTCCTCAGATTACATCTACCCCAAGATGTTTTAGTTGACAATTTACTATATAGAACAAAAATGTTATTTTCTAGATAAAAGAAAATAATAGTTTATATCAATAAGGAAATAAGTTTGTATCAATAATAAACTATTATCTTTTCGCTTACTTATGTGTCTATATATGTATATAGGGGTTTCCCTGATAGCTCAGTTGGTAAAGAATCCGCCTGCAATGCAGAGACCCTGGTTCAATTCCTGGGTTGAGAAGATCCGCTGGAGAAGGGATAGGCTACCCACTCCAGCATTCTTGGGCTTCCCTTGTGGCTCAGCTGGTAAAGATTCCGCCTGCAATGTGGGAAACCTGGGTTCGATCCCTGGGTTGGGAAGATCCCCTGGAGAAGTAAAAGGCTACCCACTCCAGTATTGTGGCCTGGAGAATTCTAGGACTGTATAGTTCATGGGGTCACAAAGAGTAGAACATGACTGAGCAGCTTTCACTTACTCACACACATGTATAAATGTAAGGAATCTGAGATAAATAAGCTTGATAAAAACCTCTAGGGAAAGATGAGTCTTTCTGAGTATTTTGTAACTTGCTTTCATTATTAAATTTTGAGTTGATTTATTCCACTTAAGCTAAACTGATTCATTATTCATATTTACTGAAGGACATAAATAATGTTGGTTTTTATAATATATCCAAAAGCTCTTTTTACAAATTCACTAAGAAGTAGGCTATAACTCATTGCTAATGCATTATCAACTCATTAGAACATGAAATTTATAAGACTCTTTGTTCAGTTCAAGGGAGAAAGGGTATAACATTTTATCACAGGTGAGATAAATACCACAGACAGACTAGAATGGGGACAAATTATTATGTACTCAATAAAAAAAAAAAAAAACCTCTTGAAATCTCTTATAGGAAGTTGTTCCTTTGCATTTTAACTCTCTGTAAACTTGCTCCTTAGCATGGAACACTTTATTTTGCAAAATAACCATGTCAACATGGCCTTGATATAGCAGATATCACTGAGAATGTTGGAAACATGGTTACTTTTCCAGCCATCATGTTGACATGGTTATCCAACATCCAAACATTAGGACCGTCCATGGTATCTTTTAAATGGTCATGTGTTAGGAAAATTGTGAGAAAAGTCATTCATTCTCCAGTCATTCAGAATGCTGTTTACTGCCTTGTTAAAATAATCTACTGTGGTCAGTTTGGGAAATGTCTAGGGAGAGGAAAAAGAAAATAAGGAGACTTATAGCATTAGACAAAAACAAAGCTCCAATCAACTCTGCATTCATTTTGTAAGCATTTATCTGAAACTTATTCTGTGATGGGTGCATCATAGCTACTGTAAAAACAGCACAGAGAGGAGAAGGATGCAGACTTTGTGCTTACAGACTTATATAACTAACTACAAAATACAACCATGTAATTGTAGCAGTATGTTACTTAATAGCTATAGCTCAAATAGCACAGTGCATGGTACATGAAATGCCCTCAATAAATATTAGTGCATTGTTAAATATACTATAATATTAAAATCATAGGTACATCATGTATGCATATATACCACATGTATTATATATCATTTATATGCTATATATGAGTTATTATTATTTAAAAGTACTTTTTTTATATTTTGGAAAGGAAGTAATATGTCATCGTTATGATAAGGAAGGATAATCAAAAGCTTCCACGGAAAATTTGACAAATTAGGTTGATGTTGAGAAACAAACTAGATCACATTAATAGGAAAATAAGGAGCAGAATTTTATTTTTTTGGCCATGCTGGGTCTTCACTGTTGCATGTGGACTTTCTCTAGCTGTGGTGAGTGGGGGCTATCTCTCATTGTAGTACACAAGCTTCTTATTGCAGTAGATTCTCTTGTTGCAGAGCATAGGTGTGGGCTTCAAAAGCTGCAGTGCATGGGTTTGGTTGCCCCACAGCATGTGGAATCTTTCTGAACCAGGGATCAAACCCATGTCTCTTGCATTGGCGGGTAGATTCCTAGCTAATGAACCACAAAGCAAGTCCAATGAGCAGAATTTTGAACCAGACATATAAGCAGTAGTTTCCTTACATCTGGGAAAGAGGTGCTTGTGTATTAAATTGTGAACTTTAGAGAATCAACCTCCATCCTTTCTCAGGTCATATTACTCCTCCCTCAGAGCCCGTAGCACACCTTCTAGATCACGCTCTAGATATGCGGGTCACTTGAGTTCCCAGGGATGTACAATACTTTTTACCAGCCTTATTATTCTGAGGACAGATTGCACTGTATCGTCATAACAATACTACTGAATAGTGGCCAAGACTTGGTTGATTGTCAGGAGTGTGGCTGGAGCTCAGAATAATGGGCTGGGTTGTTCAGATGTGTAGGTTTCAGAACAAAGACCACTGTGAAGGATTAGGATAATTTTCTTTTGTGAAGCCACATTCTGGAGTAGAATTCTGAGGGAAGAAGACAATTCTATATTTGAAGTAAGTCTTCAAGACCATGATCAAGGTGTACTTGATATAGTAATAAGATAGGATCCATTTATTAGTTTGATAGTTGATTTGCAGTTTTTCACTATTTATATATAAGGACCTCCATTTGGATGTTTGTCCCAGATTCTAAACCTGCAAGGGATGGGCTTGTAACCTAACCAGGAAAGTAAAATTGCCCCGATCACAGTATATGGATCCATGTGACAGAATTATAGAAAAGAAGAATGAATAACAGGGAGGAAAGGATGACTAAGAAAGTGATATTCAAGTCAGATCACAAAAGACTGATGCTAAGGATATGAGGTTTATCCTAACAGTGGTTTGGTTATTGCTTCCAAGGTTATCCATGTACACATCTTTAGAATCTATGAATATGTTATCTCATGTGGTAAAAAGGATTTTGAAGATATGATCATGTTACAGATTTGGGGATGATGTCTGAATTATCCAAAGGCTTCTAATCTAATTTCATGATTTCTTAAAAGCTGAAAGTCTTTCCCAGCTATGTTTAGAAAGTGAGATATGGGGGTAGAAGAAGAGTGAGAGAGATCCAACATCACTGACTTTAAAGCTGAAGAAAGGAAACGTGAGCCAAGGAAAACAAGTGGCCTCTAGGAGCTGGAAAAAGCAAGAAAACAAATTCTCCTCTGGAGTCTCTAGAAAGTAATGATGCATTGATTTGAGCACTGTGAGACCCGTGTCAAACTTCTCACCTTCAGATAATAAATGTGTGTTATTTTAAGCCTCTAACTTTTTGCTAATTTATTACAGCACCAATGGAAATGTAATAGAGGCAGCATCACTGAAAGTGTTTCCAGAAAATCTTGTTAGAAGTTAAACAATGATAAATTCCTGCTGTAACCTTTAGGAATTATTCTGTCACAAATAATAAGATAACCTGACAAATAGTGGTTTACATGGGTGATGTATTTTCCTGCTTTAACCAGAAGTTCAGAGGTAGGGACTCTGGGCTATAGTAGCTATGCTAGGACCCAGAATTCCTCAGTCTTTCTGCACACCATTCCAACATTTCAACACGTGTGCTCATGGTCACAAGATGCCTGTTGTAGGTTTCACATCTGTGTCTGAGAAAGGAGGAAGAAAGGGGATGAAAATACAGGAAGCATGCCAACATAGGAGCAGGATCTTCCTTTAAAATATTGTTTCCAGAAGCTCCACCCAATTCAACTACACTTAAATTTCATTGGCCAGGACTGGTTTACTTAACCAACTTCTGGATAAAAGGAAGTCACAGAGATTAGGGTTTTATGTGGACACATTGCCAGAGTTCTGATAGTAGGAAGAATTAGGAGAGGGAAACTGGGAAGATAAAGCAGGTTTCTGAATTGTAGGACTTATCAAAGCTTCTAAAATGTTAGTGTATGTTGTGACTCTCCAAGATGGGGATAGGCAGTGTTTTCCGACCTTATCTGAATAAGGACACATAACTTTATTTATTTTCATATGGAGGAAGATTTCACCAGGCTAGTAGACAGCACAGACTGTAAAACATTGTCATAAAGAAGGATAGCCATCAAAGGATTCTGAACAATTCTGAACGGGAATGGTCTGATCCAATTTCACTCTGATAGCAGTGTTGCCATGGGTGATAGGGAGGTGTCACTTTGCCTAGCCTGTTGTTCACGCTGCATTCCAAGTGCAAGATCAGTGGATACAGGAGGGGACCTTAATACTCCCTACCATTAGGTTAGGACAGTAAATGCTTTAAAGTTCTCAGGATCTTATCTCTTAAACTTTGTACAAGTGTTCAGCAAAACAACTTATTAATTGAATGATTGATTCAGTTTCCAAGACTCTAAAGAAACTGATTAACCTTTGTTTTAGTTACGTAGATATACTGGCTATGAGTATATCTACTCGTTTACGAGACTTTAGGAAGCTAACACCCGCATCAAGGTTTTGCTTTTTAAGTGCAAAATACCGTTGAGAGCTTTGAAGGAATCCATAGTAGCACTGAAGACAAACTCACACCAGAAGTTAGAGAAACTGTCTATCATTACACAGCTGTCCCCTGGCGATCTTAGGCCAGGAGCGCGGTTCTCTCATTAACCAGAATAGGTTTTTTCTATTATTTCATGAGACTATTGAGCAGTAAACTTTTGCCTGATGTAAGCATTACATTTCAGGGGATAGGATTAGAATGCAGTACATGTGCATATATAGACTGCTTTTCCTTCTATAAAATAAGACTAACATCTTCTACTTTCCACTGCTTCCCAGGAGTTTAAATAAATAAGTTTTAGCAATGCCTTTGTGATGATAATAGGGTTCTACTTTATTTCAAATATATTCCTGTTTGGAATTAAACAGAAAATCACCTCACTGCTGCAACTAAGTTAACATGTGTAGACATAGCTGTAAATTCAGTAATATATTTTAATATAACTTGCTAGGTTCATCACACATTATTGGATTAAGGACAGAGCCCTCTGCTAGGGGATGAAGATACAGGGGTATAGGACACATGCTTGTGGTCCTTGGAAGAGATTATACTTTGGGTAGAGAAGAAAAAGATTCAGAAACTGGCAACTAAACCTGCGAGACAACCAAGGTTGAGGAAGAGAGATGAGATTTAAGCAGAGGCCACATCATTAAAAGAACTCTGTTTACTACAGACTTGGGAAGCATCAGATGCTGTCCAGGCTTCAGAATTACATCACTGGGACTCAAGAAGAATCACAGAGTATGAGCTTGGCTTACAAAAAAAGAAAAAGAAAACGAGACCTTCTCTCCCCCTGCTACTCTCAACTGCCCCTCCTTTGTGTTCTGGTAATACCAAGGGCACATCCTTAGCTTTAGCAACTGTTTCCGTACTTTGCAATACTCTGTTTATCTGTGGGTGCAACCAAATATTTTCTGATCATCTATAGGTAATTGATCAATGTGCTTCAATACTTGTCTCTTCCATGCCAAGCAGGGTGCCAGGCTTAAGTACTAGGTCAGTGCTCATTAAATTCAATATTAAGTTAGGAAAACATTCCTGGAAAGGGGAAAATTCCTCCTCCATATTTTTATCCCTTTGAATATAATACATTTATAACTTGTAATACACTTAATTAATAATTAAACAATGTTTTGTTTAATTTATTAATACATTCCAACCCTCATGAGCTATCAGAAAAGCAACCTGGAGGTGTGGAAATGTATTGGTCAGCAATGTATAGTCAGCACACACCAGTACAAATTCCATTTCTGCCACTTATTATTTTTGGACTTGTAGGCAAGTGACCTGACTTTTCTAAACCTCAGTTTCCACAGAAGAAAAATGGAGGTAATCCACTTAATAGATGACCATTTTGTGTATATAGATTTTTAAAAGACAAAGATTTTGTTGTAAAGATAAAAGTGCATCATGCGTGTTGTAGCAGACACCCTCTGAACTTTCATCATACCCCCTGGCATCATTTGATGTGGCCAGGAGGCAGAGAGTTCCACGCACACTCAGGTTCACCTTGACTTCTGGTGACCCACACCGGGCAGAAAGGGTCTATCTGTCTATCTTTCTGCATCACAAAGGCAGAACCGAAGGAAAAACTAGTGAATTTAGTTAAAAATAATGTAGCAATATTGGTTCATCACTGGTGAGATTTTAATAATAGGGAAAGGTATAGGGAGATGTGGAATTTCCTGCTCAGATTTTTTTTTTAATAAACCTAGAACTGCTGTAAGAAAGCTAATTAATTAAAAAAATAACAATCTAGTGCACATATGCTTATTTGTGATCTAAAATTTCAGCATATTGAATTTTGTGTGTGTAATGCATTTCAAGGGTTCATTTCTTAATCCAGGAAGAGCACTCTTTCCTTTGAATATACAAAGTGCTGCACTTCACGACAATGACACATTTTCCTTGTTAAGAGGGTGGTTGAAAGACAAGTACAACAAGCAACCATTTAAAGTGACAATATAGTTTCATATAAGCTTTACAGCTAAAGGAGGTTCTATTATTCTGCTTTTACAGTTGAAGAAATAGGCTGAGAGATCTAAGGTCAAATATCACACAATCAGGAAGCAGTCAGTCAGAATTCAAACCTATTCATTTCTCTTAGCATCCATGATGCCTTTAGTATTACAAAGGTAAACACATCTCCCTCTCTCTATATATAATTATTTATCTTGGCCCTTTACGAGAACACTTGAGCCTAATTCTTCAGTTACTTGACAAACGGCATAGCTTGCATTCACGATGTGTCACTGAACCATCTTTGTCATCAAAATATTAACTAGTAAACAATATTTTTTTCCAAAATATTCCCATTAAAATAATGAAATCAATAAAGCAATGGATACACTTCTGGACAAAATATTCTGTTAATTTCCCTTGATTTATTCACAAGCATCCTTAACTAATATTTATACCAGAGAGAATTCCCTTTCCCAATAAGCAGTTAGCAGTCTAGGAATGATTAGCCAGTTGATTGAACTCAGCTCAGCATAGAACCTTGGATGTTACAGGGAAATTATGTAGAGATGGACGATCCAGGTGAGATTGTAACAAGGAATCCTTCAGAGAGGGTAGGACTCTCCTCCTAACTTTGGATATGATATTTTTGAAAAGTATTTCTGTGGCTGCACGTGGTCTTAGGGATAGCCAGGGGTTTCTGTCTAGGTGTGGCATGCAGGCTTAGTTGCCTCTCGGCAGGTGGGATGTTAGCTCCCAAGCAGGGATCGAACTGAAGTCCTGTGCCTTGGAAGGCAGATTCTTAACCACCGAAGCACCAGGGAAGCCCCTGGCTGTGACGTCTTTGACATACCGTATCTTCCCTTACTCAGCTCGATGCTGTGTGTTGTAGGTGCAATGCTTGTGTACTGAAGCCCATATGTCCCTGAGGTCATTCGTATTGATTTTGGCACGTGTGCTCTTTAAGGACAGGAACTGTCTTCTCCAGCATACAAGTACCAGCACCACTACCTCAAATACTGTTGAAAGCATTGGGTCATTGAATGAGAAAGCAGGATAACAGTTAAATGTACAACAAGACACCACCACAATAAGAACAACGCAGAGATAGTCCCAAGATAATTAACATTGCATCTGCAGGTAAAAACATTACAACCCTAACTTTATGAAAACAAACGCTTTTGTTTTATCTACTTTATGTTATTTTATTTTACTAGTCTCTTTCCTATTACAGGTATCACAAAACAAGTATGTATATAGCAATGAAAACTGCAGGTATAATCTCTAGGCAACAGATCTTAGGACATACTTTGTACTTTTGTGGTTTATGTTAAGATTAGCATAAAATCATAAATCTTTCTTTTTCCTTTATTAAAGACAATAAAAATCTATTATTATTGTTGTTATTATCCCTGTAACTGAATATTTTCTATAGTGGAACCTAAAATCTAAAGTCACTTCTGGGATCCACACTACCTCTTTGCACATTCTTAACAAGAATTCCTGAGATACATCATTTAAACTCTTCGACAAGCTGATCAAACACTGTTTTCTCACTTTAAAATTTAATTAACACTGCAACATATCACCTTGAGAAAATTTCCAAATCTAGAATCACTACCTTCAAAACCCGTTTCTATTTATCTCCTTCCTCCATACTGACCATGTGCTACTCAACTCCCGCTGGGCTGAGCCCCGCCAGCTGCAAGGTCCTCGCTCACACCCAAGGCCCCACAGCTTCACTTCCCGGAAGACTGTCTTCTCTTCCCCACTGCCTTCGTGCCCTAATTATTCTACCTGCCAACTGTCACCCTCTTCTCTTCACAATTGGCTAATTCAATACTGCCTCATCTTTCAACACCACTCCCAGACATACCTGCTCTGTTAACTGTCTCTAGTTGAGGGAGAAGGCAATGACACCCCCCTCCAGTACTCTTGCCTGGAAAATCCCATGGACGGAGCAGCCTGGTAGGCTGCAGTCCATGGGGTCGCTAAGAGTTGGAGACGACTGAGCAACTTTACTTTCACTTTTCACTTTCATGCATTGGAGAAGGAAATGGCAACCCACTCCAGTGTTCTTGCCTGCAGAATCCCAGGGACGGGGGAGCCTGGTGGGCTGGGCTCCATAGCCTGCGCCTATGGGGTCGCACAGAGTCGGACACGACTGAAGCGACTTAGCAGCAGCAGTTTGAGGTTTATACCTAAGTGGACACAGTTAAATCCTACTCAGCATTCCTCCTCTACTTTAACCTTCCTAACACAATACCGCTTTTACCCTCTTCGTATTGTTTCTCTCTGATTTATCAATTCGGTGTTTGTGATGGTTTCAGAGAACTAACACAATAATGGGAACTAACCCTATATATTTGTACTTTTATCTGCTTTAGGATGTTATTTACCTCTGTATACAACACTGTTCTCCAACAATGCCTGTTGTATAATGAAGACTTGATTCATTCTTGAAGGAGACAGCACAGTAGGAACACAGGAATGGAGAGGAGAGAGGAAGAAGACAGCAGGGACCGAAGCAGGGATGCTGGCAAGAGATTGCTTCGACATTCATCACAGGGCAGACACATGGCTATGTCTCATGACTCTTCTCCCATCAAAATTTGACTGCTAGATTTTCACAGAAATGTTCCTTTTTAATGCCTTTCATGCTTGACATCTGGATCCCCTATCACCTCTCCTGAATGCCAAATATACCTCCACATGCTTTTCATTTTTCTTCTCAAAAGATGTGCCACCATTTATAGCATCACCTTTTTCATCTGGGTCATCCGTTTTCTGGTTACACCAAGCTCTTGCTAAATCTGGAAATGAGCTCAGAGCATCCCTTCTTTTGGAGGACTCTTCATTTTTCTCCCTCTCCTCTGTACTTCATGCTGGGATTGCGTGTGCCCTGTCCGCATGTTATTTTTCTTCCCAAGTAAGCTGAGCCAGAGACTAGTGGAGCAATTTAACAAGAAGTAAAGCCATTTTTGATCTATTGGAAATCTTTGACTATAAGTGATATTAATAACATTCCCATGAGTAAAATGAGAGCTACTGG